ACGTCAGACTTAACGACCGGATAGCCATTATACAGGCAGGATCCACGCACTACTGTAAATTTAAACAGGCTAGTTTGAACTTCAATGTTGTATAAATAGACAACCATGAGGTGTTTAAGGACAAAAAATATTTAAAAACCATACATGAATATTTACTGAAAGGTTTCACTGGTACATACAGTTATTGCATTGGAATCTGTCTGGTAACAAAGACAAGTCATTCTTCTGTTTCCTGAATGAACCAGAGATGCCTCTCTTCAGCTTTTCTCCTCCTGTTATCCCTCTGCTCCCAGACCACCAAAAAAACAAACCAAAAATAAGCAAAAAATAATCATTTAAACATATCAAAAAATATTCAAGGAAATACAAATCACAAAAACACAATGTAAATATACAATATAGCATCCTCAGCTTTCCCAAAGAATAAAATAACTAAGTGTGTATTATTAAAAATGAGGTCTCTCTCTCCTCTAAGTCCCTGTTAATCCATTATTTATTATTCGGTTAAATGATTTATTCTGCTTCATAGAATAAATCAATTATTAGAAAAAAATAGAATAAATCAATTTCTTCTTCATAGAAGAAATCAATAAGTCAACACCCCCAAGTCATGCAAATTACCAGAATCCTTGAAGCACAGGCGGAGGAGTAACGCACATGAGATAAGGGACTATCAAAATAAAACAGAAAGTAACTAATAGATATAAATTTGACACAAATAACAGGGAAGCCAGATAGCGACACTAACAGCAACACGAACAGGACACACAGACACCAGACCGATATTGGGACATAACAGGAGACAGAAATGGTGGAGATAGTGGAGGAAAGACAAGGAAAAACTGATACACCAGAAAAAAAATTGAGCAATTACTACAACCTCTGAGCTCAAAGGTCTTGATGCATGCTCAATCATCCAGGTAAGGAAATCCCAAAAAATTGATTCTGTTCACTTTGGATGTAACGTGGACATTCTTTCAATGATGAGGATGAAGACCCAAGACCTCAACAATTAATCAACCATAGACTCAAACAGAGTTTTAATTGATTTGAAAGACTAACGCTTAGTCTTGTCCACCCTAATTGGAAAACTCAAAATCCATCTGATTTCTGATTTCAGATAGAATAATAATTGAAGATGATTTTGAACCATAAAGTAACATCCTCATAGCAGAATTTAATCTATTATTGGACTCAATTAACTTTTCTCAAAATGTTAAAAAAAACTCCACCTAAACTTTAATCACACTCTGGATCTTCTTCTGTTATATAGTACAGAAACTGAACATTTAATAGTGTTCCCTAAAAACCATCTGATCATGTCTTAATAACATTTACGTTTACAATAATGGATTACAGCAGTGGGGTAATATATTTCATTAAACTAGATGCCTTTATGAAAGTCCATCCTTGTCAGGGTTGTGGGGGCTAGGCTAGGTGGTGGGATCAACCACAAATTTGATATAGCTGAGTGGTGGGATCAACCTTCTTGCTGTGAGGCAACAGTGCTAATCACCACACAACCATGCTTCCTCAAAATTTTCTTTATAAAAGTGCTTTCTCTCCATGTCTTTCTCTCCGATTGATCCTTCTCCAAACCGTCAGTGTGTCTATTAGGTACCTTTCCTTCAGGTAATTTGTCTTAACTAATTACAGGCGAATCCCCAACCTTCCTTTTATCTCAAAAATCGAGAGAGTAGTTTTAACTAAGTTTTAAGTAGTTTTAAGAGTAGTTTATAGTGATCATTTGGAGAGGAATGGTTTTTGAAAAGTTTTGGTCAGGTTTCACTACTCATCAGAGTACAGAAAAAGCTTTAGTGAAGGTTACAAATGTACTTCCTATGGCCTCTATGAGTGGACTCATTTCTGTGCTTGTCCTGCTACCTCAGTGCAGAGTTTGATACTGTTGACCATAATATTTTATTACAGCAATTAGAGCATGCTCTAAGGTACTGTGCTGCAGTGGTTTGAATCATATCTATCTAATAGACTCACGTTTGTTTGTGTAAATAGGGAGTCGTCTTCACACACTAAGATTGATTATGGAGTTCCACAGGGTTCCATGCTAGGACCAATTCTATTTACATTATACATGCAGATGATACCCAACTTTTTCTGTCTATAAAGCCAGAAGACACACACAAATTAGTTAAACTGCTAAAATGTCTTAAAAACATATTAAAAAGATCTTGGGGACCTAAAGACCTGGATGACCTCTAATTTTCTGTTTCTAAATTCAGATAAAACTGAGGTTGTTTTTCTCGGCTCTAGTAATCTTGGAAATATGCTGCTTAACCAGATGTTTACTTTGGATGGCATTACAATGGCCTCCAGTAACATAGTTAGGGTTGGATCAGGTGACCCTGAATCCTTCCTTAGTTATGCTGCAATAGGCTTAGGCTGCTGGGGGTTTCCCATGATGCACTGACTGTTTCTCTTTCACTCACTATGTGCTAAAATTATAATAATTATTATTATTATTATTATTAGTAGTAGTAGTAGTATTTTATTCTGTCCCACTGTTGCCAAGTGGTTGCTCAAAGTGGGTTGTTTAATTTTTTGGTTTTCTCTCTATTATTTTAGGGTTTAACCTGCAAAATAAAAGTCCTTGAAGCAACTGTTTTGATATAGCACTACATGAATAAAACTGAATTTAGTTGAATTGAAGACCATTTTCTCTAGTTTAGCTTCTTCAGTCTCAAAACATCCAGCCCAGTATTAAAACACACCATAGCTCACTATCAGTAACAGCTTGCTAGGCCTTAATGCTCATTTTTCTTATCCTGTATTGCATCTGCTTGGTGGATATTGTTAAATCATACCCAAAATTTTGCCTTTTGAGCACAGAGAATCTGTGTGGGATTTCTGATAGCAGCATGACATTTCTGGACAGTTAGCAGCATCATTCAATGACACAAAAGTGATGGTTACAGTTAGAAATACTTTTTTTTTCTTAAATGCGTTATTTAATTGCTTATAGAAGACTGAAGCAAGAAAAAAAATGATACCTATTGTTAAATAATATACGTGTATGTGTTAGCAACAACTGTGCTTGAAAACAGTCAGCCTGATAATTCTGGCATGGTTAGGATTTTGATAACAAATGACACGTAGTTTTGAGGGTTACATAAATCTTCACGTATGACTGTGTTTGAAAAAGTGAGAGGCAGTCGCTTAAGTTACCCCAAATATGAAAAGCCAGAAAAAAGAAACATGTCTTCATCCACACCCCAGCAGGTTATAAAGTAATGTAATTTATTTTTCCAAATAATACTCAAACCACAGAAAGATAGTCTGCTACTCTCTATTGTCAAGGAGTGTGGCTGTGCTCTCAGATGTGACACAATACTTATAGAATATGAATAAAATTCAGACTGAGAGAGCTGTGTTTTGTTTTGGTGTATTTTGTCTTGGGGGGTTTTTTTGTTGTTTTTTTTTTTAGAACTATAATGTGCCTGAATGCTATTTTAACAAATGGGGAAATCACAGCGTGCAGGTCAAGACTTGAAACTTTGTACAGCTATTGTGGAAGACTGAATTGGAAACTGTCATATGCTCAAATTCTCCATCTCACCTCTAATTTCAATCTGAAAATCTCATGAGATGGCCTCTGAATGCCAAGAAAATAAAGACCAACTATAAAAAGCTAATTTTTATGATTCCAAACACCGGATTACAAGCAGCTGACACCATCTCCAAGGCTATAAACCAAATGCTGATATAAATTTTTTTCCCTATAATGTCTTAACAGCATCTTTAACCGCAATTTGGACAGAAAAAAAAACAACATTTGTATTACAGAATATCAAATCAACAAACCTAATCCATGCACCATTTGCAAAAACAGCAACAACAAAAAATGCCACTAGGTTCATCACAGAGACAGAGGAGGTAGAATGTTTTACCTTCAAAACTGTTCCCACGAGCTCGACATATGGTCAAGGCAATTTCTCAGTAAAACGTTGGAAATGAAAAGAGTTCAAAGGTTGAAACATTTCCAACTGTGACTCAGCTGAGATGTACTATGGAAGAGATTCAGGGCCACTGGGGAAAAAAGTGGGCACTTCTTTTTTTCTTTTCTCAGAATTCTGAGATTAACAGTTATTACAGCTGGCAAACCAAATGACTGATCTACATACCTTAGACCAGAGCTCCATGGATGAGACTGGCAGTCAAACCGGCTTTTTTCAAGTGATGCAATCGGGCAAATATTGAAATACGGGCGAAAACCACACGAGATCATCAGATTATAATTTGCATGCAGTTTCCTCCTTTCTTTTAATGAAAAAGATGGCATTGTAATTAAACGTTTTACTGATCACGCCTTGCTGGTTTTCTAGCAGCTTCAAACTTCCATCACCATCAGTATTAACCTTGGTTGTGGAGTCCTACTGTCTCGATAAATGATCCATAACTCCGTTTTGCAGTCCATCCTAGAGTAGTTTATCCTCCCCCTCCCTCCCTATGAACCACATGCAGTCATATATGTGTGTCTATTGATACAGTGCACAACTCTGCCAACTTTTCTGCGTACATCTCTGACGCTGCATCGCAACACTGAAGCGCAAAAACGGGGCGTTTCTCTCATTTGCTCCCTAGTATTAATGAGGCTTTCAGCATATAACGGTAGCGCATTCGAGTAAACTGGCAACTTGACATTACCACGTAAAGTAACAACTTAGCTCAACCACCTATTAATAAAATCCACAGGCGACTGTGTCCATTCAGTGAAATAAAGCGCAGACAAAAGAAGCCTTGTTGGTTTTTTACTTCATTTTAATAAACGCTTTATTTGTCTACAGCGACATCATGCGGGAATATGCGGAAGTCAACAATTTCCCTTCCATGTATATAATAAACACAAGTACCAAGAAAAGTCTGTAGTCTAAAATAATCACAATAATAATGATAACTTAAATTAATTTATTAGAATAAAGTAAAACAGGATTTGAATACCTTAATATCACACTCATCCATGATGAGTATTCCCAAGAACAACAGTCGGCCACCTAGGTTGTGGCCACCATTAAAAATTCTCCCTTAAAGTTTTTCTTTTTCTTTTTATGACAAAAGTTTGAAAAAACTATATATCCTGATTTTTTACTAAAATGTAAATTCATGTTAATGGAGGGTCCTTCCTCTTCCACCCTACAGTCTGAAATATAAGGCAAAGCACCAATAACCTAGCAGCCAATAAACATATAACAGAATTGAGGAAAGTGTGTCCGTATACATTAGGAAAACAAAAAAGTTGGGTTTTTTTAGACATCTAAATATTTGACACATTATTTTCATACAGGTGGTACAGTGCTAGAGGCATTGGCATCTGCACAGTAGAACATCTCCACTCCATGTGAACAGCCTTGTGGGTAGATGCCAGTCATGATCAAACCAGTGATCATGATGAACAAGCCGATTATTATTAACACCGTGGGTATCAAGTTTTCACCATCGAACCAGCGGCCAGAGGAAAGCTTAAGGAAGCAGGCAGATGGGATGATGAAGATCAGAGGTGTGGCACTCAGAGCACCCTGGATGGAAGAAGATAATATCAGTAAGATAAAGAGAAGAATGAATTAGCATACCTAAATAAATAATTTTATGTCAGTGCAGACTTACATTCAGTTCCAAAACAACTCCTAGACAGTCATAGGCCAAAGATACTGATGTGCAGACTACAACTATGAGCATGGTTATGGCTGCATGTTCAGTTTTTGAAAGATCTCGGCTGCAAATGACATTAGATACTACCTGAAAAATACATTTGTGAGAAAATGAATATATTTAAATATATATGCATTTTCTATAGCTGTTAAAAGATTTTTAAAAACTAAAACAAAATTACACTCAGGAAGCTGCTGAAGTATTTAAAAGATGTTGCTGTAGTCTTTCTATTTGAGAAGTCTTGCTGAAGCATTTGCGTGCAAGTGGCTATATCACTTCCCCACATATGTAATCATTTAACAGTTATTTTTTTTCTGATTGGCCTGTCAAATAGTATTACTTACTTCTCGTGTCACAAAGCACTCCAGTGGGAATGTCGTTATTATACTGATGCCAAAACAGAAGCGGCCAAATGTTGCCAGGTTATCATTTCTACAGTAGTTCTCAAATATGTCTCCTAAAAAGCATAAATTCTGATATAATTAAACATGTTTTTGTGGCATTTAAATTGCACAGACACCTGCTATACATTATGTACTACATGGTACCTTGTGTGTAGCCAGTGAAAGTTGTATAGCCAGCAACGGCAAATCCAGCACTGATTATTAGTGCTAAGCCTACGGAGATGTGAGTGACTTGAGACCAGTTAGAAAGAGTGGGCTGCTCCAGTGAGCCATAGATAAGAAAGCTGTTGTGGTGGCATATGAAGGCTAAGGACAAAAACAGAGCAGAATATTGAAGTTCAGCTGACAAAAAACCACGCTGAAGAACAGTTTGAGGTGTTTCCCACATGTGGTATTAATGGTAAACTGAGCATATTATTTATGTTACACTTTTACTTGTCCTAACTTTCCAGCATATTAAAAAAAAAACATCAAAAGAGGCTGACAAGAATGCAGCTTTCTGGTAGCAGCATATTGTATTCTTTTGTGGCTGAGTGCCTCAAAATAATAGGCTTGATCTTCTTACAGTAAAGCTGGGTTGCAGGTCAGGGCTATGATGGATTTTGAAATTCTGAGCCTTAGCACTTGGATACTGATGAATAAGCAGTAATGGCTTAGTTAATACATTTTGGTCCCTTTTGATCAGGAAAACATGGAAATACATGAGGATCACTTAGTGTTATTGCCATGTAATGGTCTAATGACCAACAATTTTACAAAAGGAACAAAAAATGTTGCAAGAAGATAGTCAGCAATAAGCCATCATGTTTCTGGTCTCATAATTAGTCCATTATCTATAAGCCTTAACTTGTTTGGTCTCTAACACTTCCTGAGAAAAGTCTCAACCACCAATAAAACTCATGTTGGTGTTAAGCAAATGACACACTCTTTCATGAAATTCCTGATGTCATGAGGCTGGCATGCATGCTGTGCTTTTATTGTACTGTTTTCTTTTCTTGTCTTGTGGTAACATACAGTACTACTGAAAGTGTTCTAGAGATGTACAATATCAGTAGAAGCTCAATGCACACAAACTCACCAAAAGACATTACACCTACTGCCTGAATCGCATTCCACTTTGCAAATGCCCATGCATCATCTGTGGGGAGGCTAGAGGGTACATTTATATATTCAGTCATCAGAGAACACAAACATACATCAGTTTGTCTGTAAAATTGATAAATAGGTGATTTTAAAAAGAACCCCATGTTTCACAGACAAGTGCAATTAAGCAAAAATCTACGTGGATTAGCAAACTACAGAGTATTCATCCATACATTTGGGGTCCAAAGGTGGCTGCTCTGATGATTACAATGATGAGGATGATAACTGTCAGCACCATTGACAGGAAGGACACCTGGTAACACATGTGAATATTTTATAAGCTACTTTAAAATCACCACAATGTGCTGGATGCTATAAAAAAAACCAGACTTACCTTCCCAAGTCGCTCTATGTTTCGATAAAGCGAGAGGGGGAACGTGAAAACAACAGTTGATAATATGATCACAAAGTGACGCTCCGCGAGTATGTGATCTGGGCCAACTGTAACATAATAAATGTGAATGCAATAAATGTCAGTGTTTATTTATTACACGTTTTCTTATTTATAGGCAGAGATTTCACGTTTCACTACACCTCCAGGAATTCTTTGAAAGACTTTGGTCAATGTGTCACCGATTGTGATGTTGTAGCTGATCATCGCTGAAGGAGAAAAGTTCATTTTATTATTCCAATTCATTTTTGTTAACCAAAAGTCAATAGATGAACGGTAACAGGAATACAGCACTAAATAAATACTTTTCAGAGCATTAGCCAGAAGATGCTAAAAGGCTTGATTTAATACTGAACTTACCAATGAAAGGATAAAGAAACTGCAGTCCAGATAAAATTACAAATCCAGGGAAACCAAATGTGCTGTGTACAAGTGACTGATAACTGTTTGTCCCTGACAGGTTTCCTCCTTTTATAAGTAGAATGATTGAGTAATCTTCCATGAAAGACAAAGTAAAAAATATGTTATTTGTATTGGTTTCTTTTGTTTTGACTCATGTTTTGTGTGTTTTTCCCCCCATAAAGATAAAAAATAAAATACATCTTTAGTAGGCTTACCTGTGATGAATCCAACAACTATCAAAAGAAGAAGGCCAAAGGGAAGCCCTGCCTGGTTCAATGCGTATGGTAAACCTGGTTAAATAAATAGGAAAATGTACTGCTGCAGCTGATAATGTGTAGAATTTAAATTAAACATCTCCAGAAAGCAAAAACTGCAGAGTAAAGAAGCACCACAACATCTGCACTGGTTCTTAACAAACACATTTCAGTCTTTTTATTACTCATTTTTAATGGTGTAAGCATAACAAAGAGTTAAATTTATGAAACAGGGCAACAGGCGCTTGTCATATGATACAGCTGTGGGGCTTGAACAGTATGAAAGCTTCTCCTTGTTACACTGAAATGAGCAAAACTAACTGATTATTCAACAATATTTTTACAGAAATAACAGTTTGAAGTCTTTCAAAGGTTATCATCCAAGTAACTGTTTGCATATAATTTAGTTAACTTTTGTTTAAGGCAGTGTGGTAAAAGCTAAAGGCATCTCAAGTAAATATTTACCTATTATTCCAGATCCTATAATAGAATTGATAAAATTAAAAGATGCAGATATCATTGAACATCTCGACTTTCTGGCATCTTTTTGTAGAGGAATTAATGTGGTCCCTTCTTCAGAGTTTAACTGAAATTAATTTTTAAATGAAGAAGAAGAAGAAAAAGAAGAAGAAGAGAAAATCAGTTAATAAGAAAGATTTTAGTCTGCTATTAAAATCCTGCAAGCATCATTTTAGACATACCTGCTGAGCCATTTTTGAACACCTGTTGTTCTCAGTCGTCTCATTCTCGCTTCTGTTTAGCGGTTAACTCTCACATATTTGTGGGTGAGGTTTGTAAAAACGCCTCTCTGTTTCAGTTACTCGATTCAAAGCAAAAACGAAAATAACTCAACAGCGCCCTGGGTCGGTTGTTGGAATACGCTGCAAATTAAGCGTAGGAAATGCAGTGATGCAGAATAGGGGAGGATTCAGTTATATTAATTTTGTCAATGAGCCAAACCTACCGTAACTCAATTCTTAGGGGAGGAGTAGTTTGCACTTTGACACTTGTGCCGAAATATGTTTGGACGCATGCAAGGAAATTGCGAATTAAAGGATTTATTAAAGGATTAAAGGCTCTGTTAAAGCTCCCGTTGTTGAGAAAAAAAGATATACTGTACAGTACGTGTTTGTCTCACGTTGTGGGTTGTAAATATGAGATCAGGCCCTTTATTTCTTTTATATGCTAAACTACCTTTCCTCCCCAAAGGATACTGCGGCTACCACAGCAGAATCAGGCGTAAAGGAAAATGTGCTCGTAACGATAACTGGTACCGGTATTTATTTATTTATTTAATTACTTATTTCCAAGCTTAAACAGGAATAACGAGTTTAATATTGTTGAAAGTCTGATGAAAAAAGCAGGTGTCAAATTTCGAGTAACAATTTTTGTATTAAAATTTCACCTTTGTTTTGTGTAGGTCCACGTTTTAGCCACAATTCAGCCATTAGAAACACCCCATACTATACCACCATATGTATCCACCAGAGGGTATCAGACTGACATACTGACTCTTAAAACTCCTGACTCACACTCATCCACCCAACTTTATACAATAATTTCTTGCAAGGAAAACGACAATAGTGAATATATAGTCTGCTGCTGTGCCACCATGAAGCGATATAAACAGCTTTTTTTGTGTGTTTTTTCAAGGATTACAGCATTTCGGACAGAAGAAACCTGCCACCAATGACATCACGCCTCTTGGGCACACAGAGAGTTGTAGAACACAATCAGATCTATTACTGTGGCTTAAGTTGTTACTTTCTGACTGAACTCCAGAATCTTATTCTGGACGATTACACGCAGTGATTTTCACCATAATAATATCTGGTATCTGCCCTTACTCGGTATTATGGAAGCTCCCCGGAATCGCTTTACTACAGTACTCCCTCCTGCGCGGAGGGGCGGACACGGTCTCGCTCTCTTTCTCTCTCTCTCTCTCTCTCTCTCTCTCTCAGGGTTTTTCTACCGGAATCGTGGAAATGACCAGGTCTGCGTCGGGAGAAGCGTCAAACACCATAATCGGATTGACAGCCTTATTTTAAATCATTCTAAAAAGTTTCACTTTTTCAAGATATTCTCCAGAGAAATCTCCACCTGGCAAGGATGGAAAACTAATGGTGAGTGGTAAACACGGCAACTTTTTTATCCTAAATTTCTTTAAAAAAAAAAAAAAAGAAGAAGAAGAAGAAGAAGAAGAAGAAGAAGAAGAAAGTGTTTTTTGGTTTTTGTTATTGTTGGGTTTTTTTTTAAGTGGTCCTAATTATGAGAACTGTTTTCAAAGTTATTTTGTTTTGGTTGGTGATTGAGAAGTCTTACAGTGTTACATTTAAGAGACTATCTACCTATCTATCTTGGTGCCTTTATCTAAATTGAAGGTTATCCAAATATCTGCACAATATTTTTCAACCTTGGAAGTATGGCATAGTCTTTGTAGCTACATAAATGTTACTGATATCAGTTTTTATGGAAGCCCTGTGTAGAAAAACATGATTGAGTTCTCAAGACAAGACAAGACAACAGATTGCGGTTTACAATATATTACAAACGTTAATGGCCATGGCAGCAATTATTAACCCACACTCCATTTTAGATGACTTCCTGTTTCCCCTACTGTAAACATCTTTATTAGATTGTTGTCAATTAGAGATGAGAGTGTTCTGTTCAGTGCTATCTGCACCGTATGGTAGTCTGACAGGTTGTTCATAAAAGCATTTATTTCAGAGATTGTTAACAGCTATTCTGCCAACGCCCTGGATATGCCAGACTGAATCTTGACTCCGTACCTCGTTGGAGACAGCAGCAGGCATTATTTGTGAGCTAGAAATGTGAGTGTGTCACAAACCACCTCTTATCTCATCTAAGTACTAAGATGCACTTTGAGGTCATACAAATTAAGTTGCAGTAATGTACATAAAATATTAAAGCTTCTGTTTGACACTGTGTTTAATAGACTAGGTCAGTCATCTATTGCAACTTATTACCACGATTCAGTCTAATGTTTGGCGACTAATCAACTCCAAATACATTTTTTGAACATTCTGTTCTGTTGGGGGAACAAATTTCTCAGTCTTAGGTCAGTACGCAAACGTCCGTAATGCAGACTGGTTACTGATAAACTAAAGTGGGCACACTGAAGCTTTGAAGTGGTAGTGGCTCATATCTCAAGTTATGTATAATGAGTTGGGAACAGACTGACAGAATGATGCATGCCTCTTTAGAGGTTACTCACTGCAGGCTGAGGTACAGGAAATCAAGGTTTATTTTGTGTTTGCAGATAATCATGAGAATTTTGGTAAGTTTGTCTTACTGTTGCAGCTGTTTTGTAGTTATTGCTTTAACTTTAGAGTATTTAGACCATCAATTATTATTTTGTGTCAAATAACTAAAAAATGTATGGTACTACTGAGTGATTTACTTTTATATTGTGAAAGAACATGTCTCAATGCTATAGTCTATGAGCTGTTAAAGGCTTAATAGCTTAATAATAACTTAGGGAGCCAGAATATGGTAGGGCTACATGGATACAATAAACAAAAAATATCTTTATTTTCATCCCTTTCTTATGTATCTTACTAGTACAGGTTTGAAATCCACTTTGCATTCAGAACTGCCTTCATTTTACATGGCATAGTGTCAAGGTCCTGAAAACATTCCTGAGAGATTTTGTATGGAAGCCCATTTATGTATATATATATATATATATATATATATATATATATATATAAACTTAAAATTTTGAGTTATCTTTCTCAAGATTTTGACTTAGTTTTTTTTTAATTTCGGCTTATTAACTCAAAATTTTGATTTATTAACTTGAAATTTTGAGAGAAGTAACTCGAAATTTCGAGTTAGCTCTGCCAATCCGTAATCTACGTGGAATGCAGACTCAAAACCAGATCACAAATTGGCGCTTTTGAGAGTACGTTTGCTGATAGTAACGCCATGTGATTCAGCTAATACCACAAGGATTCATGAAGCCATGCTGAAAGTAATCAGCAATTTGTGCATTCATGAGTGGCTGTAATACTAGTAGCTTAGCTGTAGCATTTGTAGCTGTGGGCTTCAGCTTCCGGGTAACAAGGAAATTATGTCATTCACATAGATTACCGATTCGCAGCGCTAACTCGAAATTTCGAGAAAGGTGGATAATTTTTTTTTTGTTGTTTTTTAGTGGCGGAAACGGGCTTCCATAGCTTTGACATCATAGTGCCACACAGTTGTTGCAGATTTGTCAGCTGCTCATCCAGGATGCAAATCTCCCATTTCACCACATCCTAAAGGTGTTCTGTTGGATTGAGAGGTGGTGACTGTGGAGGTCATTTGAGTGCAGTGAACCGATTGTCTTGTTCAAGTGACTAGTCTGAGGTTATTTGAGCTTTCTGACACTGCATTACCCTGCTGAAAGCAGGCAACAGAAGATGGGTCTACTGTGGTCACAAATGGATGGACATGGGTCATCATCAATGGTCAGGTAGCCCGTAGCCTATAAATTTGGCCCAATATTAAGAAATACCATTGCATCACCATCTGCAGCCATAAACGTTAATACGAAGCAGGATGGATCCATGATTTTATGTTGTTTATGTCAAAATCAAATGATTGTCTAATGACTGTAGTTATTTAAGGAATAGTGAGGTTATTGTTAGATTTCAGCATCACCTATACAGTATTTATAAATATTAGGAAGGTTTAGCTTAGTGTGATGGCCAGAACATAAGAGAAGTGCTCTTTGGGTCTTATTTTGTGCTAAACATTTCCTCCTCAAGATAAGAAGGAACTTATCTTCACCATATAAAAGACAGTAGCAGAGAGTCGCCACTGGCCTGATGGTTTACTTTGGAAACTCTGGCCTAAATTTATTTTATGCTGAATTTGGATTTTGAGCTGACAAATGAAAACCACAGATTAACTTGATCAACCTGAATTCTAATTCTGATGAACATCTGTTATTTAGTACAAGAGTAGAGAAAAACACATTTGAAATGTTGTATCTACTCTTGCCCACATATAGGCAGATGTTACATGAGTTATCTACTCATACTAGAGTTAGTTACTCTATGACCTGTCTAGCTGATTTCCTTGAAAGTATAAAGCCAAGGTGGAATTCAGTGAGTGAATTTAATTAGCATCATCATCTTAAATTTAATTTGATGTCTGGTGCCCTTGATGTGACCTAACACTGACCATGTACATCACAGCTGCTCTACACCAGTCCAACATAATGCATTACTGTAAACTTAACAACAGAGATGCAAACTAACCAGCATAGCCTGCATTAAATCCCATAGTATATTTTATTCAACCTTTGAATAACAGAAAGTTAATATACTTCAATTTCCTTTGCAGGAAGTTTCCCAATGTGGAGAAAACATACTGAAACTTTAGCAACACACTGTGTACAGATTGAGTATTTAAAATGATTGAGGAAATTACAAGCTTTACATTTCCAATTCATCAAATGTCAATGAGCAGTCCTTACCTTTAAAAATAATCACATTTCTTCCTCTCCTGGTCTAGTCATTTTTACAACTTCATTATATCAGACCAGCTACTGCCCCTTGTTCACAAGGGGTTTGCTTGTATGTTTGATTTAGAAGATTTTTACACCAACTTTCCTGTGTCTCCTTCCAGTAATGAAGCAGGAGTCTTTTGCTTGTTTCACAAAGATTTCCTGAGAAATAAAGCAGTGTATCTTTAGCTAGCAGAC